AAAGTAGGTCACCGGAGCTAAAAATAGAAAAACCTTGTTAACACTCTAGCGGTCACATTTTTTGCATCAATCATCATCAAACTTGGTCAGGATGCTTATCTAGTTGATAGCTCGGATGAGTGTGAACATGGGTCATCTCGGATGAAAAAGTAGGTCACCGGAGCTAAAAATAGAAAAACCTTGTTAACACTCTAGTGTCACATTTTTGCATCAATCATCATCAAACTTGATCAAGATGCTTGTCTAGGTGATAGCTCGGATGAGTTCGAACATGGGTCATCTCGGATGAAAAACTAGGTCACAGGAGCTAAAAATAGAAAAACCTTGTTAACACTCTAGTGGTCACAATTTTGACTCAATTGTCATCAAACTTGGTCAGGAAACTTGTCTAGGTCATTGCTGGGAAGAAATTGAACATGGGTCATCTCGGATGAAAAAGTAGGTCACCGAGCTAAAAATAGAAAAATCTTGTTAACACTCTAGTGGCTACTGTTGTGATCCAAATATTCTGTTAATTGGTCTGAAAGTTTGTTTTGATGATTTCTAAGTCAAGTTTGAACATTGGTCATCTTGGATGAAAAAAACTAGGTCACACCGCCCAAATATGGAAAAACCTTGTTAACATTCTAGTGGTCACATTTTCGACTCAATTATCATCAAACTTGGGTCAGGATGCTTGTATAGGTAATTGCTTGGATGAGTTCGAAATCGCATGTGGAACTAGGTCACCGGAGCTAAAAAATAGAAAAATCTTGTTAACACTCTAGTTGCTACTGTTTTGATCCAAGTATCCTTGAAATTGGTCTAAAAGTTTGTTTTGATGATTTCTAGGTCAAGTTTGAATATGTGTCACCTGGGTAAAAAACTAGGTCGCACTGCTCAAATATGGATAATCCTTGTTAACACTGTAGTGGTCACATTTTTGACTCACCTGTCATGAGACTCGGTCAGAATGCTTGTCTAGGTAATTGTTTGGATGAGTTTGATAAATCAGGTGAGCGATCTAGGGCCATCATGGCCCTCTTGTTTGTTATATTTATTCTCCGTTAGTGTATGTCTTGCTATGGAGCCAACTGTTTCTGCGAATTCATCATTATAAAGCGAGAGAAAATTATCAATATCTTCTTTGTCTGTCAAGTTTAAGGTTCTCACAGCCTGACCTCTTTTTAGAGCTGCAATTTTTTTCAATAGTTGCCCTGCTTTAAGGACAGATGAGGGTTTTTCATAAGTTTTGCTCCCAGTTGTTGATCTTTTCTCAGATTCACCACACATATTTGCTAAAGCCCTCAAGCAAATGTCAAAGTATTGCGATTTGATAAAGTCCCCAATATTTGCCGATTCCTTGCCTGTTAACCTTCTCAGTTCTAATTTCAATCTACCCAAAATACGCAGTTTTTCTCGTACTTGAGAGGCACGTTGGTTTCCCAGCTTCCTGAACTGAGTATTTCCAAAAAGCAAAAGCAGCTGGTCGCTTCTTATTGCCATACTAACTGTGTCCACATGAAATCTGCTCAATACGTAATCATTAAATTCCTGATCTCCCGAATACATTTCAGATCCTAACCCCCCTTTTAAAACATATTCAGCTGAACGAACATCATTTTCTACTCTTCTGAGGTCTTTAATGTTCCCCACTTCAATTTTATCCTCCTTGAAAGCACAGGTTTTAACGTGCCTCCAGAGTTCTCCTTTCACTAAGAAAAGCAAACAGTAAGGACAAGGCAGATAGTCAAATGCAGTGCTCTTCTTTTCTTCAAGTGGCCGTCTTCCAACAAAAAACACTCCAGACTTTCTTAGTAACACATCCACATTGTGATTAAAGTTTCCAAGATTTCTATACTTAGCAAAAACAGTCTTTCGCTTTTTAATATCTTCTTTAGATGCATTTTTACCAGACGGTAGTCTTCCAATTTCCGGAACATTGTCATGACTTTTTTCTAAATGTCTTGCCATTTTGCAGTATGTTTTCTGGCAGAAAAAACAGCACTGTTTCTTTGAATAGTCTCTTTTATCAGAATCACTGACTGTCTGTATAATAATTTCTGAAAAGAAATAGCAACAAAGACATTAACAACCCCCATGAATCTATATCACTCCACATTAAACAAGAGGGCCATGATGGCCCTGAAGTCGCTCACCTGTATATAGCATCCCCCCCCCTGGCAGGGCCGATTTTAACCCAAGGGCTTTTATTTGAACAAACTTGGTAGACACCCATAAGATGTTTGATGCTAAACATCTAAGCTCTAGCTCATTGGGTTTCTTAAAAGAAGGTTTTTTAAGTTTTTACTATACACATATAGTTAATAAATGACACCCGTGGGGCGGGGCCAGTTTTGACCCCAGGGCTTTTATTTGAACAAACTTTATAGACACTTACTAGAAGATGTTTCATGCTTAATATCTAAACTCTAGCTATTTGGGTTTTTTCAAAGAAGATTTTTAAGTTTTTGCTATACACATTTTAGGAAAATCAATGACCCCCAGGGGCGGGCCAATTTTGACACCAGGGCTCTTATTTGAACATACTTGGTAGACACCCATTAGAACATGTTTCATGCTAAATATCTTAGCTCTAGCTCTTTGAGTTCTTTAAAAGAAGATTTTTTAAATTTTTACTATATGCATATAAGGAAAATCAATGATCCCCTGGGGTGGGGCCAATTTTGACCCCGGGGCTTTTATTTGAACAAACTTGGTAGACACTCATTAGAAGATGTTTCATGCTAAATATCTTAGCTCTAGCTCTATGGGTTCTTTAAAAGAAGATTTTTAAAGTTTTTACTTTATGCATATAGGGAAAATCAATGACCCCCTGGGGCGGGGCCAATTTTGACCCCAGGGCTTTTATTTGTACAAACTTGGTAGACACTCACTAGAAGATGTCTCATACCAAATATCTAAGCTGTAGCTCATTGGGTTTTTTAAAAGAAGATTTTGTAAGTTTTTACTATACACATATAGTTAATAAATGACACCCCTGGGGCGGGGCCAGTTTTGACCCCAGGGCTTTTATTTGAACAAACTTTGTAGACACTTATTAGAAGATGTTTCATGCTTAATATTTAAACTCTAGCTGTTTGGGTTTTTTCAAAGAAGATTTTTAAGTTTTTGCTATACACATTTTAGGAAAATCAATGACCCCCAGGGCGGGGCCAATTTTGACCCCGAGGGCTTTTATTTGAACATACTTGGTAGACACCCATTAGAACATGTTTCATGCAAAATATCTTAGCTCTAGCTCTTTGAGTTCTTTAAAAGAAGATTTTTTATGTTTTTACAATATGCATATAGGGAAAATCAATGACCCCCTGGGGCCGGGCTAATTTTGACCCCAGGGTTTTTATTTGAACAAACTTGGTAGACACTCATTAGAAGATGTTTCATGCTAAATATCTTAGCTCTAGCTCTATGGGTTCTTTAAAAGAAGATTTTTTTAAGTTTTTACTATATGCATATAGGGAAAATCAATGACCCCCTGGGGCGGGGCCAATTTTGACCCCAGGGCTTTTATTTGAACAAACTTGGTAGACACTCACTAGAAGATGTTTCATGCCAAATATCTAAGCTCTAGCTCTTACGGTTTTTTAAAAGAAGATATTTTAAGTTTTTTCTTTCGGTTGCCATGGCAACCAGAGTTCTGCATGGAATTAAATTCTTTGAACAATTTTTAAAGGTGACCACCAAAGGAACATTCCTGTGAAGTTTGGATGAAATTGGCTTAGTAGTTTATGAGGAGATGTCATTTAAAGTAAAAGTTTACGGACGGATGGACGACGGACGGACGAAAAGCGATCACAAAAGCTCACCCTGTCACTTTGTGACAGGTGAGCTAAAAAGAATAGTAGATAAAAGGTTCTCAAGGGTATTGAATTTTTTTACCCCAGGAAAATAATTTAAGAATAAATTCTTTAAATCTGAAGACAATTGTACAAAACAAAATATTTTTCTATTTGGTTTGGAAGATGTAGCTCTTATTGCCTTGAAATTGCAGGGCAAATTAGCTTGTTCACGCATAATAAAGGGACAAATCTTTCAGCTTACTGCCGAGGACAAATAAAGTTTCAAATGATTAAGAATTATCAATCCCATTTTCAAGTTACCTGCCATTGAATTTTTAAATTTTGCTTATTTCAAAGGTAGATTATATCCAATCAAGGCTTTGTCTTATTACTTTTGATTTGATGCACTACTTTCATTACCATAATGGGTGCCCTTCCGCCAGTAAAGCTGCAACGTCGCCATATGACCTATACTGTGTCGGTGTGACGTAAAACCCAATCAAACATACATTACCATAATAGATTGCAGACTAAAAGTTCTCCTAATTTTTTCCAAGATACGCTTTGCTTACTATGTAAAGAAACACTGATCAAATTGGATTGCCAAGAATAACTCTGTTTATCTCTGTGCCATTTTTCAACTGTATTTCAGTAATGAAAGACCAAAAGTCAGCATAACCAGTATTTCTGGATTATGTAATAGTACTTACCTTTCTCCACAAGGAACATTACTGCCAACATAAGTCAAAAAATTGACAAATTCATGCACATAAAATCAAATCTTCAGTGAGAATACATGTTTCATTACATTTCGCTATGAGGATTTGGGTTCTTCCTACTGAGCAGAAGGTAAGATACTCAGCAGCTAGATCAGGAAAATATGCCATAGTGAGATAATATGTCTATACCTGTACAAGTCTTTTCCTTTGGTTTCTTCGTTACTGTCTCAGCGCAAGTAGAGTCGGCATCAGCCATCAGGGGTTTTTCTAAAGGTATTGCTGTCTGAAAGTAAAGATTTATGTGCTGCACATATGTGCTGTCTGCAATATATTAAGAAGTCCTTGGCAAAGGAAACCTTATTTTGGTTATAAAAACATGCAAAATAGCAGAGACTTGCTCTTTTACACACTGTGGACAGAGTAAAGCAAGAGTATGATAATTTACTCTCTTTTCTACACAATGCTGCCATAAACAGAGGATAATCGGGACAAAGGACCTCGGTCAATTTGTGTATCAATCTCCTTACCTATACTGCACTTACTATCTACATGTATCTGGACAATATAGTTTTAAATGTAGTTATACACATGTTAAGGTTAAAGAGTAAAAACTTGATGTTTTTTCTGTTAAAAATTATTAAATAATTAAAATACTTTGATCACTAAGTCTTACTCTCTTTAATACACTGTGGGGACAAACTGTAAACCAGGCTCAAATTTAGTTTACACCATTAATTCTGCTATGGTTAAATGAAAATGCCTGGCACATGAACAAAAAACAGCCTAATATAATCATCAATTGAAGCAAAACTAAAAATAACAGTGTCTGGTTGACTGAACTTCAAATTATTGAAGCCATCCTCAAAAACCTAAATATATTACGAACAATGTGTTTTTCTGACTCTTTTTAAAACTAGCAAAATGTATATTAAACAAACATCTTACATAAATGGGAAGAACATCTGAACAATCTGAATCTGATACATATTCCTCAGCTAGTAGAATTCCATTTTTTCTTTTCACTTTCATAGTTGTGCATCCCTCTTGTGACGAGGTTGAGTTCACGGAGTCATCAATTAAAACAGTATATGACTCAATCACTGATCCTGTTAATCAAAATTGTTTTGCAATATTTTACAAATCCCTGATTAAACATGTTTAAATATTTAACATAAAGATACACTTACATTTAAAATGAATGTGGTTATTATGAAATATCAAAACATGAATGATTTCTAAAGCAATTATCTAAAATCTAGAATAAGCCTCATAAAGAATCTTAAACAATAAATGTTCTACCATAAAGAGCAGATCTTATCATCGCTTACAGCAAATGCTATCATACATGCTTGAAAAAGCAGAACCATTTTTGTACGAGTGCAGTCTTTGAAGATTTTAGTAACAAATTCATGGACAGACAATAAAAGATTTATTCTACTATTATTGTTTTAGGTCTAGTGGCACTATTCCTCATCAGCTTTAAATAAAAATGGAAAATGCTCAAACATGGCCTCTGTCTTACTTTTCATACCATGTGTAAGGGCTACATCATCAATTGCTGTGTCCTCCATTGCTATAGCTGTCTCAGCACCCTGTAGCTTAGCCCCTATGTCCTCCATTTCTACAGCTGTCTCAGCTCCCTGTTGCTTAACCCCTATGTCTTTCATTTCTACAGCTGTCTCAGCACCCTGTCGCCTTATCCATATGTCCTCCATTTCTGCAGCTGTCTCAACACCCTGTCGATAAACCCCTATGTCCTCCATTTCTGCAGCTGTCTCAGCACCCTGTCGCTTAACCTCAATGTCCTCCATTTCTGTAGCAGTCTCAGCACCTAGTCCCTTTACCCCTATGTCCTCCATGGGCTCAACCTCAATGTACACCATTTGTACAGCTGTCTCAGCACCCTGTTGCTTAACCCCTATGTCTTCCATTTTTACAGCTGTCTCAGCACCCTGTCGCTTCATCCATATGTTCTCCATTTCTACAGCTGTCTCAGCACCTAGTCCCTTTACCCCTATGTCCTCCATGGGCTCAACCTCAATGTACACCATTTGTACAGCTTCTCAGCACCCTGTTGCTTAACCCCTATGTCTTCCATTTCTACAGCTGTCTCAGCACCCTGTCGCTTGACCTCAATGTCCTCCATTTCTACAGCAGTATCAATATCCTGTCGATTAACCCCTATGTCCTCCATTTCTATAGCTGTCTCAGCAACCTGTCCCTTAACCCCTATGTCCTCCATTTCTATAGCTGTCTCAGCACCCTGTCCCTTAACCCTTATGTCCTCCATTTCTATAGCTGTCTCAGCACCCTGTCCCTTAACCCCTATGTCCTCCAGTTCTGCAGCTGTCTCAGCACCCTGTCGCTTAACCTCAATGACCTCCATTTCTGCAGCTGTCTCAGCACCCTGTGGCTTGACCTCAATTTCCTCCATTTCTGCAGCCGTCTCAGCACTATGTAGCTTAGCCCCAATGTCCTCCATTTCTGTAGCTGCCTCAGCACCCTGTTGCTTAACCCCTATGTCCTCCATTTCTGTAGCTGTCTCAGCACCCTGGGGCTTTATCCCTATGTCCTCCATTTCTGCAGCTGTCTCAGCACCCTGTCTCTTAACCCCAATGTCTTTACCTATTTTCAAAAATGCATGTATATGAGATTCTTTGGTAAAGTACAAATTCAGACCAAGTTAAGGACAAAAGGGCCAAGATGGCCCTAAAGTCGCTCACCTGTATATAGGCCCCCGGAGCGGGCCAGTTTAAACCCCAGGGCTTTTATTTGAACAAACTTGGTAGAAACCCATTAGAAGATGTTTCATGCTAAACATCTAAGGTCTAGCTTGTTGGGTTTTTTTCAAAAGAAGATTTTTTTCTTTACACATATAGTTAAAAACATTAACACACCTGGGGCAGGGCCAGGGCTTTTATTTGAACAATCTTTGTAGACACTTACTAGACAGTGTTTCATGCTTAATATCTGAACTCTAGCTATTCAGGTTTTTTCAAAGAAGATTTTTAAGTTTTTGCTAAACACAAATAAGGAAAATCAATGTCCCCTGGGACGGGGCCAATTTTGACCCAAGGGCTTTTATTTGAACAAACTTTGTAGACACTCACTAGAAGATGCTTCGTGCTTAATATCTAAACTCTAGCTATTTGAGTTTTTTTCAAAGAAGATTTTTAAGTTTTTGTCATACACATATAAGGAAAATGAATGACCCCCGGGGCGGGGTTAATTTTGACCCCAGGGCTTTTATTTGAACAAACTTGGTAGACACTCACTAGAAGATGTTTCATGCTTAGTATCTAAAACTCTAGCTATTTGTTTTTTTTCCAAAAAAGATGTTTTAAGTTTTTTGTTATAAACATATAAGGAAAATGAATGACCCCCGGGGCGGAGCCAATTTTGACCCCAGGGATTTTGTTTGAATAAACTTGGTAGACACTCACTAGAAGATGTTTTATGCCAAATATCTAAACTCTAGCTCTTTGGGTTTTTTAGAAGAAGATATTTAAAGTTTTTTCTTTTGGTTGCCATGGCAAACCAGAGTTCTGCATGGAATGGAATTCTTTGAACAACTTTGTTAAGGCTTCACACAAGGAACATCCCTGTGAAGTTTCATTATGATCTGCCTTATGGTTTCAGAGGAGATGTCATTTTGAAAGTGTGAACGGACAACGGACGACAGACGACGGACGAAGAGTGATCCTTATAGCTCACCCTGAGCATATGCTCAGGTGAGCTAAAAACTTGCAAACTGTAGAGTATAACCGCTTTATTGCTGACTAAACTGAAACAGAGGTCCCATCGACAAGGAATTTGGTATCACTATATTGGTAAAGAATTATTGGCCATACAGTGATATATTGATTGCAAGGGAATATTTTAGCTTTAAAGTCTTTTTTTAATGTTTCTTAAGGACACTGACTAAGCAGTTATATATAAACGTATGCATATTGTAAAGAAACCATGTGATAGAACAAAAAGGATAAATAAACTATGATAAATGAACAATTTGTTTTAATTTTATCATATAACTATAAATGACAACTAATGACTAGCAACTATAAAATTGCAAAGTCTTTTCAAATTTAATTTTATTGTTGTTGCTTTAACGTAGAAACGGATTAGGCTAAATCCTGTTCTGTCATTCCAAGTAAGCCAGGGTTTTATAGGTAAAAAATAGTGTAAAGAGCCTGAATAATTATTAAAGTTTAACATTTTATAATCATAATTATATAAAGAAACAGACAAAATTTATTTGGCATTTTATCTTTTTAAAAATCTAAAATTTGGGGGGGGGGGGGAGGGGTATGAACACCCTTTAGCAGATGTGCAAGGTAACAATGAATTTCAGCATTATTCCGTAGATACTTGGGAAGTAATTTTTTGCATTATTCCGTTTTCATTTTGGAAAATATGTTTGAAAATTGTTGGCATTAGATACCCAATATCTAAACAAGAGCTGTCGGAGGAGACAGTGACGCTCGACTAATTAAATACTGGACGCAGTAAAGGAAGACAAAACTATGAAAAAAATCAATTGTGATGAAAATATATTTCTGTATGAATAACACGAAAGCAAATATTTTTGCACCACAGCTGTCAGACGTTTTTAATACAATGATTTGAAATCTGAAATCAATCATTTCACTAAAAAAAAATGATAAAAGCAAAAAGTATAACTGTATATGAAGTTTTTTTAAAGAATAATAAGTTCAGAGAGGAAATAACTCTAGCAATTACAGGGATAAAAACTAACCATTTAAGCTTGGTGGCCACCTGGGCCACTGACTGTAAAATTTTGGTGGCCCAGTAAATATATTAGTGGACCAACAAATTATGAACAGAAAGGGACTAGCACTGGCAAATTTTTTTTTAGCCAATTTTTTGGCATCGAAAATTGCGTGCCTGTATTTTATTTTCAAATAAGGCAGAATGGTATGGCATGAGGTATTTAGAAAAACATAAACTATATTGTCCACTTTTTATTTTGGTTCCTACATTTTTTATCACATTAACACATCAAACTTATAAAATTCACAGTCAATAATTATAAAAGCTTCCCGCTCAGTAGCTATGACATTTGCCTGGTTAAGTCAGTGGCATGACAGTAACAGCAGAAACACATTCCAATGTGCTGCTTCAGCTTGCTTGGTTAATGACAAAGATTTGGCTTGAAGACTATCTGTATCTGAAATAATACAGAAGAAACAAGTTTGAAAGTAAGAAGAGTGAAGAAAATAATATTGAAAATTCTAAACTTAAGATAATTAAGGAATAAAATCACATGTACTACTGTCATTATAAGAGTATAGGAATCAGTATAAGTTATCTGAAGGCATTTTCTGTTTGTATGTTACTTAACTGAATCTTTCTTTAATATTTCACAGTCATAAGCCATTTATAAATGAATACTTCTGCAAGAGCTTCAGGGGTTACAAAACTTAAATTTGATTTTAAGTCAAATCAAGGTCAATCTTTTTTTCCAAGGAATTCTCTGTAAAGTCAAATGTCAAATAAATTTCTTGTAAAGGCATAATTAGGTTAGAATAAAATGGCAATCAACCCCCTCCCCCGAAGAAAAAAAAAAGAAAAAAAAACATATAAAAAAACAACCATTACTCTTAACCAATATTTTCTTTTGATCTGTTTATCAACAACGATAAGATTTACTGAATGCAAACTTACCGTCAACAGGTCAAGTTGTCAACTGCAGAACATAATTTGTCGCTATTTCATACCCAAACTTCAGATTTGATTAGCGATAATCTTGGGATGCCGCTACTTATTGTTTCATATTAAATATTTAGACCCAATTTTCCAATGCATATTCAACAAACTGCCAGGTATGTTCACGACAATTAGTGTCATATTTATCAGCTGATGTAAACAAACGGTGAGGGCCAGTGTATTAGACTGTGTTACTTTTCATATCGATATTTAATACAGAAGGGGAGATAAAAATATAAACCAGTCAATGACCCACAAGAAGTAGACTGTGTCGCTGTGTTTTGAGATAAGAAGCGGTAAAGCGGAAATTGAAAATGGAAAACCAAATGTGTACTTTTCCATTCTTAAAATAGCAAATGCTAAATTTAGACTGGAGATT